CAGCTCGAGCCTTAAAGGAAATTGAATCTTGGGACCTATTTTTGGAAGAACCATCATCGAACCAGGGAGCAATTGGAATTGCTAGAAGTGTTACGATGGAGAATCGAAGACAATCATATGTGGCGGTGGGTTACCCTTTTTGGTTACAGGAACTCTTTGAGTCTGAAAGCGTGTAGTTTAATTGTGTCCCCTTGTGTGCATGGTTTTCTTTTGGAAGAATGTGATTGTTTTTTATCCCTTTTGTATTGATATTTAGTAGATCGGTTAGTGGACTAGTGCGTCCTTTTGTAGGTCTGTTGTAATTATGGTCATTTTGATGTAAAGCAAAAAAATTAAAATTAAAAAGTAAGTAAAAGTGGGGTATGTGGCAAAATCATGACCATTAAATTTGAAGATTTTGGTTACTTTTTAGGTTATAATTTTTTTTAGACTATTTTAACCAATTTTTCTTGTTGTTATGGTTCTAAATCGTTATATATATATATATCTTTTCAGATGAAAAAAAAAGAAGCAAGTTATATATAATATATACACCAATCAATTCGTGTTTGTCCACATTCCAATCGAATATGTGGCAATGATAATATTTGTAGCCTAGCCACTAGTTCTGACTAGTTGCTGACTAAAAGTTATTATGTGTTGGAGAATGGAGACTGTTAGACAAAAGAACATCCATCAGATTTCGGAGACCGTATAAATGTGTAGATTTTTCTTTCTTTAAGACTTAAGAAAGTAAAAGATTTAAACAATTATTGAATGACATCTTTTTTGTTCAAAATATACACCTAGATACCACTTTCTCTAAACGGGGTGTATTGGATGTAGAATTTTAATGAATTTGGTAGAGTTTCTAATTTGATGGGATTTGTGGTGATTTTGGAATTTAAATAATTAAAAATATAAAATATTTTTGTATGATTTGGTGTATGATTTAGTGTGATTTGTTTTGAATGAAAGAATTTGTGGTGATTTGATCGAGTGTTCTTCATCTCCATCACGGTTAGTGTTATTAATTAGTTACTTTTCTCTTAGTTATCAATAATATTTCTCTAATTCATAGATTCATGTTTTTGTGTTGTATTGTTATATTGGCTCTTAAGCTATT